AAATTTTTAAGATTTACACAATTGGTCCCTTTGGGCAGTTTGTGGATGTAAATGATCTCTATCAGGACTGATGGCCAATATAAACAAATAACTTGGTATCATACAATAAACCGATCGATTCTCAATACCCGTTTTTAACTTTATCAAATTGCTTTAAGCAAACAAGTGTTCGTTCACATTAAAATGTCACTTTGAAATTATTATGTTTGTTTGTATTGTTTCAGTGGCTTTAAGGGTAAACTAATGGTACTTTTGCTGTCGTTTCACTAATATGTCTATAGTTCCATAATAGCACCAATTTGGTTATATCCCTTCTGGTTATGTAGAACTTTTCGTTGGCAAAGTAGAAATTTGTTTCTAACGCATTTGGATTCTGTCTACAGAGTATTTTATTCAATTTAACGACAAATCTTTTGGAGGTACTAATCACTTCAAATCACTTCGAACGTGATGTTTGTGGTAAATATATAATCTCTTTAAACAGAAAGCAATAGCAATCTATTGTAGTGGATTTAAAACAACCATTCTTTTGTTATCTGAATGCATTTTAAGTCTATTAAATTCTCTAGCCTTAAATTAATATATTATTTTGTCGGAACAAAATGCTTACTTACATTTACTATATTAAAAATGAAATTCAAATATGTTTTTTTGCTACAAAAATGGATTTCCTTTATTGATATTTAGGTTATTTATGTGTTGGTTGCAATCAATCAACACATAAGAAAATTGCCTTTATCATCGAGTCAGGGAATTTCAAGATGGAGAGCACTAAACAGCCCAATAGAAATTTAAGGGGATAGTGGGGGGAGGGGAGGGGAGGGGGGGGGTCATGGAATTAAGTACTGAGCATCAAATCTTTCTTGCTAAATTTAAATGCTAATTTTTCTGGTTGTCCGACTTTTTTCATTATTTCAAACAATCAACTGCGCCATTTCCTTAGATTACACAATTCAAATTTTAATATCTAATTCAAGAACTCTTGACTGCGTTCATATCCATCTTGTTTAGTGGCTAGGACCTAATTGGCTATGTGCAGTTGTTTTTCCTTCCAATAAATAGGACAGAAGTCGAGCTAATATTAGCCGCGATGTAGGCGAATTCTAATAAAATGCAATAATAATAATAATAATAAGCAGTATGGAATAATTGACTTAATTACTGATGTCGACTGTGAACGCGCATAAAAGATAGTAGTATATACAGCCTGAAAGTGATTAAAAAATTAATTATTTCTATTTTTAGTTTATCTCCAAACTAATTAAACGCCTAACTGACTGTCAATCTCAAATTATTATTATCGATTTTCCTAAATACGCAGATACAATGTGTCAGTTAATTTAATTAACGAAATATTATAAAATACGCAAAATCCAAAGTTTCGAGGCGCACATCTTTTTCACTGGCAATCCTTTTTATTTTGTGATATTTATTTGCTATTTGCTACATTAGAATTAAGCATTCAAATAAATTGTTCTAATTCTTATCTCGGACCGAGAGAAAACAATCTGGAACCTCTTAGAATATGAGAACCTCATTTTCTGTCATCAGAATCAGCCAAATCGTTTAGTCAGCCACTGCGTTTGTAGCGATAAGAGTTTATCTCATGCCATCTGACACTACCTTTATCAAAAATATTTTGGCGTAAAATCGATCGTAATCGGCAGTCCACTAGTGTACCCTTTGAACAATTATTATGGCAGACCTTTTCAAGGACGTGGTGTCTTGTTCGCGGCCTATGTCATGTAATGCATTCACCTTGACTGATCTTAATGCAAACTTAGATTGCTGCACCAAATCAGAACAGGTTTCGATATGGGGGGGGGTTCTATTCCATTCTCAGTATATTTCATATTTTTTATCTCTTATGCTTCCTGTCGACTATTTATTAGCATTAAGCCAGAGTTAGACTAATCGGAATCGAATGCTTTTTCTCCCAAATGCAATGGCATTTTTGTGAGACAATGCAAATGTTTACCTGTTGATAAATCCTAACAAGTTTTCTGATCGGATAAGGAAATAAAAATGAGGTAATTTGGGGAAATAATAAGTGAATTTGAATCTTACCATTTAGGGATCAGACTTGTTGATCTTCATTAGTCTGTAGGAACGTGTTCCTGTTAATAGTGCAATATCAACACTTAGCCTCTGCAAACATTCACACACTGAGACTTCTTAATTCACTGTTTTTACCTATTTTTTTGTGGTGGAGATTTAGGCTCTTAGAGACGAAAATTGATATTTGCGGCTTTATGGTCAATGATTTCCCAATCGAACTAAAGATTTCCTTAGCGTCTAAATATATTTTCCTTATTCATAACGACATGGAAGACTAATTTCTAGTTTCCTTGGTGTGTGATAACTTGGGAGACCTTTGAAAGTTAAAAATTATGAATCTTTCTTTCATTTATCTAGTTTATCTAATCTGATCTTTTCTCATGGTGTTTAGGAAAGCCTTAATTCGGTTTCATCTAACTCATACGAAAAAAAGGCTATTTACTGGCAGTTGACTTCAGACCTCAAACTACAATGGCCCCACTGTATTTCATATTCGACCACTTCCACAGTCCTCACCTTGCCTTTTCTCTGCCTTCGTGCCTGTTTGTCTTTTTTACATCTTTGAATCATTATTCTGTCCCCCTCTCGATGGTTTGTCACTTTGATGTTCCTCCCCTCTGTAAAGCCCGAATTCAGCTAAAGGGTTAATGATAATTATCAAATAGCCTGCCGTTTAATAGAAATAAATTAAGTTATCCTTCGTTCATATTGTGCGAAGTTTATGATGGGTGATTGGTTCCTTAAAATTATCGATCCAAAACCCGTCCATTATTAGCAGGCTCTTTTGGCAATTTTCTTCCTAAAGATGGTATATAACTTCTTTCAAAAGGAAAAATGGATGAATGCTACTCAACTGAGTCCTCATGTAAGTCGAATCTAAATAGCTTCTGATGGCCATGTTTACTATATCACCATTTTTACAAAAAGGAAGTGGTCAAATGAAGTTAGCATCATAGATGTCAGTTACCAGGAAGGAATTCAACCGCCTTTTCATTTAAATAGTTGTGACGATTAATGTCCTGATATGTGGAGGTTCTCTATAGGGCTAAAGTTAGGCCTGATGTCTATATATTCATTTATGAATCTTCACTTGAGATATGGAATGGCATTAAGATTGGGGAGGGCTTATTGCAAAATTGCATTGAAAGATTAGTTTAAGAGGGTTTTTGTTGGTTTAATTTTAAAATTCGTATAGTTAAGATAGTTTTCTTTAACTTTCGCTTACCTATGTTCAAAACTGTGCATATTTGTGCTTTACTATCGTTTAAATGAATATTGGCCATTGCATAATTCAATATCTACTGAGCTCATTGAAGGACTTGATTCAATAAACATCTTGCGTGGAATGGTTGGAACTTGAGGCCCCCCCCTCTCCTCACTAACCAGTGTGGTTGAATTTTCCGCTCACGTTGAGAGCGCTAATGGACATCGATGGCGTTACCTCCAGAGCTCGAAATACTTGACCATACATTTTCATCCTTTTTTATTAAACATCAAGTATTATTAGTGTTACTCAGCCGCAAACATTTTTTGAACTTAATTTAGTGGCCTGAGACATGACTAATTCCGAAATCGATTGTCTAATTATTCTCACCGCTATGGTCCCAGTCCCTACCTTTTCTAATAAGTGGCTTTGAATATCATTAAATCCAGGTCAAAGTTCACATGTTCCAATTTTTCCCCTGTTTTTCAGTACAAAATGACAAGCCTTTTGCTTGGGTCCATGGGTAAATAACAAATTTCTGTATTTTCTTTTTGGCACCTTCTTCTACCTTAACTACGTTGAAGGGCTAGAAGATTCTATGTTGGGAACTCTAGCTCCTTACGAAGTGTTCTAATTTAACTTGATGAGTCTTGTTTCCATCAGAATGATATTACATATACTAATCAAAGGAAAAACAGATAATTAAAATTTTGTAAAGTTATTGTTGAAATTAAAGACCCAATCTACAAAATACTTAATTTTTATTTTGAAAAAATGTCTTGAATTTACTCCGGTGACCACAATTCGAAGGTGGGTTAGAATACCATAAAATATTTTTCTAATTTTATTTATTTTAGCCTAATTTTAACATTTTCTCTAATCTATTATTTGTCATCAATACTTCTTACTAAATGGGATGCACCTTCAGTGCCCCTAACCATTTATTCAAAATTAAATAAATAGCTTGATTAGGTCAATTTAAAATTTAAAAATTACTACTTATTAAAGAGTTTAAGATCTTCAGCGTTCAGCGATTCACACACGAATGGATGTGGCGAAAATGGCATAATGAACCATCTAAAAAAAACTGAGAAGAAATTTTCTAGATTTTATTAAAAATTTCCATAATTTTGGCAAATAATGAACTACAGCACGCTTTGCGCAAAAGATCAATTGACTTTAACCACTATGGCAATCTCTGGCATCCGAACCATTATTCTAAACGTCAATGAATGGAAATTTCAAATACTTCCATCTTCGTTCGTAAGCACGAACTTTTAAGATCCCAAAAAAATAAATTGCTAAGGATAGGAAATGAACTTAATAACGAACAGTACCTAGGCAAATTTGAAAACATGATAAAATAATTTTCATTAATATTAGATTATTTCACTAAATAAAATAAGTCAAAGATAAAATTCTTTAATAGCAGTTATTCTGCTTAATCTAAACACTGGGTGAAGATCTTACCCCAACAAGTTCAGGAATAACATTATTGCAATCTACCTGAAAACACGTATATTAAAAATTGCCAAGGAATGAGTGAGGTACATAGTATAAAAATTTTTTCTCATAACTCAGTCGCTTAATCTTTTACAAGGTATTAAATAATGTGGGACATTTATAATTACTTATGTAATAATGTTATTTTGGGGTTTAGAAAAGGATGAAATAGTTTCTTTTAAAAGTAAAAATAAATGTACATAGTGATTAAAATTGGAGAAGCAGAAATTTGTCTCTACTTGGTATTTTTCCCCTTTAATGAAGACTTATTCCTCCCTTCAGCAAATGAAACTTGAGTTTTACCCTTTTCAACTGTTGAGGGCGTATTTTTTTTGCTCTCACTCTTCCTCCTCCTCTCTTTCACATTGTCCTCCTTGATTGATTCCTCTTCAGAAGATTCGGGGCTACTGCTTGAATTCTCAGACTCGGAGCCAGTTTCTTCAGACGACTCGTCCTCACTCCCGCTCTCCTCATCTGAAGATGTTTCACTTTCTTCTTCAGACTCACTGGATTCTGAATCCTCCGAATCTGATGTCGTCTCGTCTGAAGTTTCATCAGAATCCTCAGAGGTTGATGTAGCTTCACTTGAAGTCGTTTCTTCAGAAGACGTCTCTTCATCACTTGATTCACTCTCGCTTTCACTTGAGCTGCGATCTACCGAGTTTGGATGATATCTGGCCATTTTCTGGTCAATTGGCACACTATAATATAAGTAATATTACATACATGACAAAAAAATTCAAGCAAATATACGATGAAGAGCAAATTACCCGAAGCAATTTTTAAGCATAGGATCAGATTCCTAACAATAATATATGTTACAAGATTTGGTCCCAATTATTAGTTAAACACCGAAGTGGATGATGAGGGGTTCTTTTCAAATAATATGAAATTCGAATTAAAATAATTGACATTGAAAGAATTTTATTATTAATCTTGAATGAAGTTCTGGAGATGTAATTTTGGATATTTTAGAGGTAATTTACACAGAGATATCTTGTTTCCCAACCCGCTGAAACCAAATAATGATGACGATAATCAATTTGAAATTGATGATGGTGGAGATGAAGAACCGCTGACGGATTCAAAATCCAATTGTAAGTCATATTATTTATTAAATTAAGTTATTATGCCCAACACATGAGTTTCGAACACATTACACACTCGTACGTGCCAAGTAACTGATTGATATATATTATAAAAAATTACATAATTAAAAGAGATTTTAAACTAATAGATAGTAACAAATATTATATCAAGTGACAGGCTTCAAGCTATTCATCATTAACCAATGGTTATACATGTAACTAATAGTAAAATGGATAGTTATTATGAAAGTGAATACCTGTTGAGTCTCTTAAAAATGTTTTTTAATCTCTCGTGGTATTCCTTCAAAGTGAAGTCCTCAACTTTTTCAGACATCTTTCGTCACGAAAATCTAAAATTAAGCCGTTAATTTAAATCAGCGTTAAGTCATAAAGTTTTTAACATATACAAAAAATATGATAAAACGATAATAATAATCTTTGAAAGTATTCAATTTATAAAAATTTACCAAAATATTATGTAAAACTGGCACACCTACTGGAAGGATTGTGAAGTTCAATATTAGCCAAGCGAATAAGCGCTGAACACTATTAAAAAGTTAATGAAATATTCAAACAAGATAAAGGTCATTAATAATTTAAATATAATATATATTTTTCATGAAGTTGAAATGCATTGCAGTTATTTATTTGCTAAAGAGAAATCTTAAATGTTTCTTATTTCTGAAGGTAAACACTGTTAAAAATTAATCGCTCTATACTTACATATGATCATTTTAGCACATAAATTACATATTTCAATATAACAAATCAGCGCACTGGAATAATAAAATACCTAAAAAATATAGATCTTTAGCTTATTTTAATAATTCTTATAAAATGCCTAAGTAATTTTTCATTTTTCGTACTGAGTGAATGGATATGAATCATATATTTATCGATTTCTTCTATTAAAATTTTCAATTTTATGATAATATGTGTGATATGGCTATGACTTTGGGTCACGTTTATTTATTTATTTCAAATGGCAGGCGTTTTGATAACTATCATTAGCCATTTAGCTGACTTCGGGCTTCACAGAGGGAAGGTTCAAAGTAGCAAAAAGTCGAGGGGTGGGGAACAGAAGAGCGATTCACAGATGTAAAAGTGATAGACAGACACAAAGGTTGAGAAAAAGTAAAGGTGAGTACCATGGAAGGCATCGAATATGACTTGCGGTAGGCCATGAGAGTTTGAAGTCAGGAGTCAACTGCCGGTTTATAGACTTTTTTGCCGCATGAGTATACGTTGCCCAGGGTGCACTACGTGGAGGTAAGTCT